TGCCTTTATTTGGCAGGGGCTGCTCTGGCTCCAAAAAAAATTGAGCCAGAAAAATCGCCAGATGCTATATTTTGTCGCCAGTTTAGAAAACTTGGAGCCAACTTTAGAGCCAGCTAGAGTCTTGATTTCCTCTACCAAAATTGAAACCATGTTCAATTTAAATTTCTTATGCATTGTATAGGAATAAAAATATAACAATAAAGATTAAAACAAAGCAGCTGTTTTCCCACAAAATAGCATATTGTATGTTTTTAATTGAATGTTTATGTCTCCAAACAGTGACTAATGGGACTTAAATAATGACTCCATATAATTGATCAATGTTCCTGTCCTTATAATTAGCTTAGGTCTGTATATGCTACAGAATAGAGAAAATGTTTTAAATTAAAAAATAAAGAATAGAAAAAAAAAATGGGAATTAAAGGAAGAAAAGAGAAAAATGGGTGTTTAGATATACAGAATAGTGAAAATTTGTATAAAAAATAAAGAATACAGAAAATGATGACCCAGGCACCCTACCCATCCTGCTACCAAGACCCTCTTAACTTTGCCAATAACTCAAAATACCTCCTAAACCTATAAATTCTAAAGTCAGAAGTATGAAGACATATTTTGAGTAGGTATCTCAATACTAGGAAAAAATAAAATTGAGTTATCTTTCTTTATTCGGGTGTGCTCTTTTTTCGGAGTATTATACACAGTAGTCAGTAGAAGTGAATACGATCAACAATGGCTGCCGGTTTTTGTTATTTTCGTATCAAAAGTGAGGGCAGGCAAAGGCAAATTACGTCTGAATTTACCATTTTTTACGGAATACAAGTAAAACAATGTTTTTTAGCACGTTTATTATGGTTTTTGTCTTTCTGTCAATTATGTTTACTTCATGAAACTACTGTAAACGTTGCAAAATGTGTGGCCGTATGAAAATTTCTTCAAATGAAATGACAAATGCCGACTGACCGATTCTATTTGAATGAACTAATGTTGATGATCATAAATGACCCATCGATAAACGGATTACCTGTAACAACAGATTATGACACCTGTTGTAACCGTTGATTAGCTTGGGGTCGTAAAAAAAGTCATAAACTTGTCGCCAGGTAAAATTTCGTTCAATTTCTTTTTTTACTTTAACCATTTTAAATGACGATCGATAATATTACCGTTACAGTAAAAAATTTAATTGACATAGGAAAATTTTGGCGCCAGAAATATCGTCATCAGCCGTATTTTGTCACCAGATGAAATCAAATATCGCAATTTGCGACATTGGCGAAGCCCACCGCTGTCCCTGCATTTGATATATAAATATAAAAAATACACACATCTGGTAGAAAATAAAGTCTCACCAACTACAGCATTTCATATATAATTGTCATTCTTGGTTGAAATGATGAAAGGAGTCATAAAAAAATGTGCATGTACGCTGTGATACGTAGGGGTTATCCAACTCCCTAGAAAATGTGTATAGCCGCAGTTGCATAGTACACACCATAAATCTATTTCCAGTTTATTTGTCATTTTTATAGGTTAAGTCAGAAACATATATATATCTGGTTAACAACAAAATTATATTTCAATTTTTGAATTTGATGTGACTTACCGTTCATCTTTTTTTTCCTTTGGGGGAGGGGAAAGGAGGGTTTACGTTTAATTGTAGAGTCAGTTTATGATTCTAACTTGACTAAAAAATAAAAATCACTGTTCCAAAAGGGAATTTAAAAAAACAATTCGCTTCTATCGAAAGTTACAGATGAAAAATGTACATTTACAACAACAAAAATAGTTCCTATATGTAATTTAAAAACTAAATTTTAGGTGAGTAAAAATTGTTTAGTCAGAATTTAAACCATTTAACCCACCTAGGATACCTTTTAAAAGATGACTGGTGATGCTTTACAAACGTGATAATTTCTGTGACATTGTACATTCTGTTTAGGTAGTGATTTACCTTGACATTTTCGGGTATTACAGCGGAACTTCATGTATATTACCTGTATATGTCAAGGTACCGTCCCATGACGTCTCACGTATATACAGGTTTATATTTATATTGGCGTTCAATACCTATTTATGATAATAAGGTTGTATGACATTCACAATTCTGCATGTTCTGTATACCAAATTCATATTTTATTTTCAGACCGAAAGAGGATATGTAATTTTTGAAGGAAACATTGACTATCAAATTAATTTCAGTGTTTTTAACTAGAATTAGATTATCGAAATTTAAAAATACTGCTTGTCCACTAAATAAATATAACCCTTTCGAATCATGAAAACTTCCGATTTTATAAACTCCTCATTTTGAAGTTGATTGTAATACAGTTACAGTGGGTTTTTTCTTAAACAATGCGATCTAACAGTTCTGAATCATAAAAGATTTCTGAAATCAAAAACAGTTTGTTCTATTGGATAAAAAAACTATAGGCTCTAAAGAGCCTGTGTCGCTCACCTGTATTTACTGAGGCTTTGGAAATCATGTAAAATAAGGTTAAAATCATAATTAATAGTATTAGATATTAGATATTATAATGATATCTAAGATAATAACAAAAAACTGCAAAATCTTTGTAAAATTACTAACTCAGGGGCAGCAACCCAACAACGGGTTGTCGGATTCGTCTGAAAATTTCAGGGCAGATAAATCTAAATCTGATGAACGTTTTTGCCACCTTGTCAGATTTGCTCTAAATGCTTTAGTTTCAGAGATATAAGCCAAAATCTACATTTTACCCCTATGATATATTTTTAGCCATGGCGGCCATCTTGGTTGGTTGGCGGGGTCATCGGACACATTTTTTAAACTAGATACCCTAATGATGATTGTGGCCAAGTTTGGTTAAATTTGGCCCAGTGGTTTCAGAGGAGAATTTTTTTGTAAAAAGCTAACGACGACGGAAATCGACGACGACGACGACGACGACGGACGACGGACGCCAAGTGATGAGAAAAGCTCACTTGGCCCTTCGGGCCAGGTGAGCTAGAAGGAAGATCGTTAGCTGAAGTAGCCTGAAGAACGGACAGATACAGCCACGTTCCACCAAAAGAGATCCCGTTAATAATCTAAAACTTACTTCGGTGTTAAATGATTTTGTGTGATTTTTTTTCACCGTGTGAACGAGATTTTATACATGTTTATATATGAATGTTTTATATGTGTGAATATTTACATTGAAGCAAAAGTATTACAAATTTTCCATGGCGAACCATGTATTTTTATGGTTCCATTCGTCATAAGCAAAGTTGACTTTAGATGGTTTCCGAAATTGCTTAAACATCTTTTGGCCAGGTAACACATACCAAGATTTTAAATATTTAGATTAGTGTGTTTCCGTACATTTTTAACCGTATAAGGTAAATCAAAAGAGCTTTAGATACACCAATTTTAAAAATTTAGGTTTTTTTTCATTCCCCAAGATTATTTCTTCGATTTTAAACTGATCAAATATAAAAATCATTTTGATTTTAATAATTTCTCCTTTAGATTTCATTTGAACATTATTTATCATTTTTATAGCATCGGATTTATTTATCCTACATGTATATTAAATACAAGTTCAATATCATGATTTGGCTAACAACGGACCTAAACCTAAATTCAATTTAATATTCCACGGCGATCTATTTGTATTTGCCACCACCTTTAATATGTATTTTAACTTTGTGCATTAAACTCGACCTTCTGTCTTATAATCCATTTGAAATGACATTCACACCTGGCACGGTGTGCCCTGGAGACATGGCTAAATACCGATCTGCAAATTACCTTGATTTTATATCAAGCCTTCCACGGGTATTGCCAGGGAATAATACACATTGTATTAACATAGTCCTAGCATAGAAATGTTTGCTTGAATTAAGGGTCAAAACGTACCGTGACTTATTGTCCTTACAGTTAAAGTTATATTCTCTAATTTTTTTCACCATATTCGTTGGAAAAGAAAATTAAAAAAAAAAAAAAAGATTTACTTTTTCCGCTGTCAACATGTCAAAAATCGAAATATATACGGTAAACATAGAAAATGTTATCTCATGAATGTAAAAAGTTGCATGTCTGTTCGTTTTTTTTTCTTACTATCGGATGGTAATTAGCTATCAAAATTTGTCATCGGCGCGCTTATGATTACGTTAAAATATGATTAAAGACCAAGACTTTAAATGATTGTACTTTAAATCCCGGCATGCAATACCAGGAGTTAATGTCACGTATTACAGGAAGCAGTCAATAAAAAAATTATTAATTATTGATTTTCTTCTTTATTACTGCACATATAGCTATAAAACTTTGTGAATATGTATTTTATGTTATAATGAACATATTTAAACTATAAGTAAAAAATCACGAATTTTCCCTTTAAACTCCTATAGTTTTACATATAGGTATTTAAATAACCAGTACAGTTGTTTTTTATCTCTTAAGCATCATTGTAATACACATTCATTACCATATATCCGATTCACTGACTAGCATTGATTTAACATTGAAAATTATATATAAGATTGATACAAATAACAGTTAAAATTTTGTGACTTTTTAAAGTGTGTTGAACATCATTTTTTTTTTTATTTAATTTGAAAGTGTTTGTGGTATGGAATTTTTAATTCGCGAGTATTCCGAAATACAGTTACGTTTATCTGTTAGTTGTTGGTATATTTCATTGTATGATTCAAAATTTTTGGTATTATTGTCCCATATATCACCAATAGTTTTTTTTTGACTTTTTGAGAAAGATGAATAAAACAAAGATTTGCTCTTAAATAAAACATTTGAGTTTCCAAATTATCGCAGTTTCATTACATCTCTTTTGTTTAACAAAGCCTGCATAATCCTTGTCAATTTTGACCACGATTGTAAAGCGCTTTTGTAATACTGTGATAGGGTTTTGACATGAAAGGTCAGAACACCTACAAAGAAAAAGTTTAACGGCAAATTTCTTATCATATTTTTTTAACCAAAATTCACCATTGTATTTAAAACGGGGCACTTATTCATATACCTGTCTGCCACCATGTGTCAACAACATCTGCTTTCTTGTCACCAACAACAACATTGTACCAATCAAAGGCTTCACGATTCAATGGTTCACCGACTGAAAATATAAATGAACGTTCAATTTAAAATATTACAAGCAAACACCTGATTCTCATTCATATGTCTCCAACACATCTCTTTATTTCACAATATTAAGCATTCTTGACAATGACTTAAGGTTTGATTGCTGCAACATATTAGACATTTTTAAATAATTATATACTGTGGATTCATTTATTTTCGTGGATACCTATTTTTGAAGAATGAAAAAAAAATGTATTTTCGTGATTATTTGATTTCGTGGATTTTCTAAAGTATGCATAGAAGCCTATAGAAAAATTGTACTTCGTTGCAAAATAAAATTCCTTAAAAATATCCTTAACATTGATTTTATTTATATGAGCCTTTCTTTTATATTATTGTTGATTTTTTTTTCCTTTTTCAAATTATTGAGTGGTAAAAATTAGATTACCTCCAAGATTTTTTTTTTAAGAAGGAATAATTAAGACAATTAGTTTAGAGTAAGAATAATGAAAAATTAAACAAAAATCAAACTTTTTTCTTCAGATGCTTTTTCTTGATTATGGAAGCATGGTTTCATAATATTCAATGAAAGTTATACAAACTTACTGATGTCTGTCTACAAATTATTGATATTTGAAATTCCAACTTTAGATTGTATCTAAATAGTAACTGCAAGCAAAAACTAGAGGCACGAAAGAGACTGTTCTTCTCACCTAGGTCTATGTGAATCTTCGACAATAGAAACTCTCTTACAATGCAGACTAAAACATAATTTATGACAAAAATCTCTTTTTTGTTGACAGTGTACTGCTGATCATTTTTCTGTCGTCATTTACGAGCAATCTCTTCTATAAAGAGTCTACTTACGATTTTCAGAAAAATGTGACTTATTTGTAGATCTTGTTCTGCTGATCAATGACAAAAAATTGGTAAAAAATTTCAGTAACGACTAAGAGCTCCAATAAGGTGTCGACTGACGATTTCAGCCATGTTAACTTATTTGTAAATCTTCCCTTGCTGATATTTTTTCTTTTATAAAGTGCCTCTCTATATATTATACTTTTCAAGATAATAGACAAAATAAATTGCTTTGCAGAGCGCAGCTGGATACGACCGCAGAGGTCCAACCATGAACAGTTGGGGCAAAAATGGACACAATATTCGCGCTTGATACAGGTCTGAATTTGGATTGTAATTAAATACTTGACACATAATAGGTTTCTGACACAGAATAACTTTAGTCGAAGAACTTAGAATTGGTTATATGATTTGAATTTATATTCAATTATTTGCTTTTGTGCAATACACTATGCTGTTGAGAATTGACCACCCCCAAAAAAAATTCTTTTCCCTCAAGATATGGTCATAATCTCAATTCAAATTTCCAATGGAGTTTGCAACCATAATTACCCATTTAAATACATCATAAAAGTCTTAAAATAGAAAATGACATAAATAATCATGGCTAAAATTAATATTCCTTAATCAGCATTTTTAAATAGTTACTTCTAAAAATAAATTGACAGCTAATCACCTCAAGACAATACAACATTTCTTTATACATAATTTAAAAGCAGTGTAAGGGAGGTAATCCAAACCTAACATTGTATTTTTTTTTAATTGTCCATTAACCAGGAAACCCTTGTTTGTCCCCCTTTTTTGCCCCTAATTCCTAAACGGTTTGAGCCATAACCCCCCAAAGCCAATCCTAACCATCCCTTTGTAGTACGGAAAATTGTGGTAAAATTTCAGAGCGATCCATACATCGTTCCACAAGTTATTGTCTGGAAACTAGAAAAATGCTTATTTGGGCCCCTTTTTGGCCCCTAATTCCTAAACTGTTAGGACTATAACCCCAAAAATCAATCCCAACCTTCCTTTTGTGGTTATAAACTTCATAGATTTATATTTACATTTACTAAAGTTATTGTCCGGAAACCAAATGTCTTCGGACGACGACGACGTGATACCAATATACAACTGCAAAATATTTTGCGGTCGTATAAAAACTAAAAATAGGTACAAATCGTCATAAAAAGCAATAACTTCAGTAAGGAGTCGACTGGCGATTTCAGTCAATAGACTTACTTGCAGATTTTGTCTTGCTGATCCTCCAAGGGTGACGAGGAAATAGAAATATGGTCACTTTTGGTCTTTTTCCGACTGGCAGTAAAACCCTTGCTAAAGTGGGGCGTTCATTTGGTTGTGCGGGATGTACAAATACACAGCCACGTCCGGTCAGAATGGGGATGTTATATCCGATGCCTCGTGTAAAGAGAGTGACATGCTTTTTGGACATTAAGAACCCTTGACACAACTCTTTGAGGCCTAGGGGTCCGTAGGTGGACTGTTGCAAGACAAATCCCATCCAATCCGATATACCCTCATTTTCCAGTATCAATCCAAATTTTCTTGACCTTTATCACGGACGACCGCTATTTCAGGACCTACCTATTGTACTTATTGTTAATTTGTTTTCGTCCTGAACATGCATGAAATATTTGCCACTAGAAGTTAAGCAACCAAAAATCAATCAATCAATGTCTTGCTGATCAATTTTGCTACTTCAAGTTTTATCTATCTATTAAAGCGTTTAAAATTATAGGCAAAACACACAAAAAATCAAAATCAAAAGGGGAATAACTCCAATAAGAAGTCGTCAGATGATTTTGGCCATGTTGGCTTATTTGTAGATTTTGTCTTACTTATCAATTGTGCTATTTACAGTATCTATATACTAGTATATATAATAGTTTCCAAGATAATAGACAAAAGTATTAAAAAATGGTTAAAAATCGTCATAAAAGAGCAATAACTCTACTAAGGAGTCGAGGGATGATTTCAGCAATGTTAACTTATTTTTAGGTCTTGTTCTGCGGATAATATTTGCTAACGCATGTTTTTTTTCTATCTATTAAAGTTTATATATATAAGATATAAGACAAAAACGAAAAAAATGCTTAAAATCATCATTATAGGTCAATAACTCCAACAAGGAGTCGTAGGAGGATTTCGGCCATTAAACATATTAGTAGATTTTGTCTAGCTGAGAATCTGTTCTGTTTAAGGTTTCTCTCTATCTATAATTATTTTCAAGATAATGGGCAAAAATGAAAAAAAAAATAATTCGTAAAATTCGAAATTATAGGGCAATAACTGCTATAAGAATACGTTTTTTTTTTTGGACAGTTTGTATGTAAATAGACAAAAGGTAGATTTCAACATTCTGAACATTTTTGTCTCCGTCAGATTTTATCTTTTATAGTGGTTTTCAAGATAATAGACAAAACTGATTTTCGGTACTGTTAAATGAACACCAATAGAAAAGGGAGATACCAAACATGAGGATTTAAAATTCAATTATATATATATATATTACCGCAATATGTCTTGACAACAGACAGCAATTTCTCAATCTTAAAGATAAAATAATTCATTCTAAAAAAAATTAATGAACACTCATTGTTGACTGAGTTCATCATGTTTTTAAATATTCAGCAAGTGCCAAATACTTGATCAAAAGTCAATTAAACTATGCTGTATATTTACATGTTATTTTGCAATTAACTATGCAAAATATTTTCTCAATTGTTATAATTCATTTGTATAATGCTAAGAAACAGGTAGAATGTGAGGCTTTACCAAACATTTTTATCCTGTTTTGTGTCCATTACAAACGAATTATTTTTAGACAATTCATTGTTGTTCTTTTAAACTATTACTCTAAAAGTGGTTTCAAATGAACTATTTTGGGTAAAATAAACAATTATGAATTTGAGACGGATAACGTAAAAATTCTGCAAATTTGCACCTTTCATGAAGCCGTACATTAAACTGTACAGAAACAAATTATGAATTTCACAAACAAGTCTTCATAAGGTCAGTGACTGTATAAAGCCAAAGTTTATACTGCAAATACATTTTGACTGCACAAGTAGCACAGTTGCAGTTAATATAGTAATTCTTAAGATATACTTTGGTAGAAGTAAGACAGTCTTACCACATCCCAACTTTCTTAATGTTGATCTGTCATATTTTGTGACCCAAGATCTTCCTTCCTTTAGCAACATACGTAGTGCCGTAGGTGCTAAATATATATGTTGAAGTTTAAGACGTTCTACCATTTCCCAATATCTTCCTGTAAATAAAAAATACTTTCAAATGTTAAAGACAATTACTCTGCAACAAATAATAAATGTGCTTCGCCGAGCGCAGCTGGATACGACCACAGAGGTCCAACCCTGAACAGTTGGGGCAAAAATGGACACAATATTCAAGCTTGATACAGGTCAGAATTTGGATTGTAATTAAATATTTGACACATTATATGTTTCTGACACAGAATAAATGTAGTCAAAGAACTTGAAATTGGTTATATGATTTGAATTTATATTCAATTGAAGATTTCTTGATGTTGTGCAATACAATTTTTATTTCTGGAAAACTGATAATTTCTTAAATCTTGAGAAAAAAAAATTGACCCCCCCCCCCCCAAAAAAAAAAATCCCCCCCTCCTTCCAAAAAAAATAATGGAAAATTGATAATTTCTTAAATCTTGAGGAAACAAATTGCCTCCCCCTCCAAAAAAAATAATATTTGAAAAAATTGTCTTTTTGTAAAATGGATTTAAGAGACATCCATACACTTAAACACAAGTTATTGTCTGAAAACTAGAAAAATGCTTGTTTTGGCCCCTAATTCCCGAACGGTTTGGGCAATTACCACTAAAATGAATCCCAACCTTCTACTTGTGGTATTGAACCTTGTGGTACAATTTCAGATTAATCAAAATACTTATACACAAGTTATTGTCCTGAAACTAGAAAAATGCTTGTTTTGGGTCCCTTTTTGGCCCTTATTTCCTAAACGGTTGGGATCATCACCCCCAAAAACAATCCCAACCTTCCTTTTGTGGTATTGAACCTTTTGATTAAATTTCATAGAGATCCATACACTTAAACTAAAGTTATTGTCAAGAAACCAAATGTCTTCAGACGACGATGAGGACGTGATAGCAATATACGAACGCAAATTTTTTGCGGTCGTATAAAAATTATAAAAAGCAGCTTAGAAGTTTCCATTTGATGTATTATAAGTTTATTATTATTATGTTGGTACCCAAGAAATAAGGATTCATGAAGACAAGATATTTTGCAGGAGATGGTGTTACATCAAAATAATCCATTGATAACACTTTATAAGTGTTCTCTTCTCATCCATTCTTAACCTGGAATAATGACTGCTAATGCTGATGCAATAAATACATACACTACAAAATCATAATGGCTTCAAACAAGGGAGTTCTCAGAATCTTCATCTATGCTGACCTATTGGCAGATCTTCTCTTGCTGATCATATTTGCTTTTCAAAGTTTCTATGTTTCTATTATAGTTTTCAAAATAAATGGCAAAAACGCAAAAACAAAAGGTAAACAATGCCATTTAAGGCACAATCTTCTTCACAAAAGATTTTAACAATATCGACTCATTTGTAGATAACATTTTAAAATGGAAAAAAATCGTCATTTAATGCCAATTATTCCTGGAAGGAGTCACTTGACGATTTCGGTAATTTTACTTATTTGTAGATCTCGTCTTGCTGATCATTTTTGCTTTTTCAAGTTTCTTTCTGTCTATTATTCTTTTCAAGATATGCAAAATCGCAAAAACTAGTAAAAGTCGTCATTAAAGGGCACATGCTGCTATAAAGAGTTGACCAAAAAGTTCAGCAATATCAACTTATTTGTAGATAATGCCTTGTAGATCATCTTGCTGTTTGAAGTTCAATATCTATCTATTAAAGTTTTCAGGATGCTACTCAAAAAAGCAAAAAAAATATGGTAAAAATCGTCATTAAAGGGCAATAATTACAATAATGGATCGACTGACGATTTAGGTCATATAAATTTATTTGCTGATCTTTTTTTATATTTAAAGTTTCTCTCTATCTTTTATAATTTTCACGATGATAGGCAAAATGGAATAAAATGCTCCGCTGGGGCGCAGCTTGATACGACCGCAGAGGTCGAACCCTGAACAGTTGGGGCAAGTATGGACACAACATTCAAGCTTGATACAGCACTTAATTTGGATTGTAATTAAATATTTGACACAGCATAGGTTTCTGACACAGAATGAATGTGGTCTGAGAACTTAAAATTTTTTAATTTACCTCTTCAAACCATATCATTATTATTTGCTTTTATATATAAATCAGAAATAACCAATTTGAAATGGAAATTTTAAAGAAAAAAAAAAGGAAAAAAAAATCCCCCCCCCCCAATTTTTTGAACCCCCTTATGATTCATCACCCCCAAACTCAATCCCAGCCTTCCCTTTGTGGTATGGTACCTTGCAGTACAATTTCAGAGAGATCCATACACTTGAACACAAGTTATTGTCTGGAAACTAGAAAAATGCTTGTTTTTTGGCCCCTTTTTGGCCCCAAATTCCTAAACCTTTACGGCAATTACCCCCAAACTCAAACCCAGCTTTCCCTTTGTGATATGGAACCTTGCAGTACAATTTCATAAAGATCCATACACTTACACACAAGTTATTGTCCCGAAACTAGAAAAATGCTTGTTTTTTTGCCCTTTTATGGCCCCTAATTACTAAAATTTTGAGGGAATTACCCCCAAAATCAATCCCAGCCTTCCCTTTGTGGTATGGTACCTTGCAGTACAATTTCAGAGAGATCCATACATTTGAACACAAGTTATTGTCTGGAAACTAGAAAAATGCTTATTTTTGGTCCCTTTTTGGCCCCTTATTCCTAAACTTTTTGGGCAATTACCCCCAAACTCAATTCCAGCTTTCCCTTTGTGATATGGAACCTTGCAGTACAATTTCATAAAGATCCATACAATTACACAAGTTATTGTCATGAAACTAGAAAAATGCTTGTTTTTTTCCCCTTTTTTGCCCCTAATTCCTAAAATTTGGAGGCAATTACCCCCAAAATCAATCCCAGCATTTCCTTTGTGATATGGAACCTTGTGATACAATGTCAGAGAGATCCAGACTTTTACACACAAGTTATTGTCATGAAACTAGAAAAATGTTTGTTTTTTGCCCCTTTTTGTCCCTAATTCCTAAAATTTGGAGGCAATTACCCCCAAAATCAATCCCAGCATTCCCTTTGTGATATGGAACCTTGTGGTACAATGTCAGAGAGATCCATACACTTACACACAAGTTATGTCTGGAAGTTACAAAAATGCTTATTTTTGGCCCCTTTTTGCTTAACTGTAGGTACCATAACCCCCAAAATCAATCCCCACCTTCCTTTTGTGGTATTGAACCTTATGGTAAAATTTCATTGAGATCCATTCACTTAAACTAAAGTTAGAGTGCGAAAACTAATGTGTCTTCGGACGACGTCATACCAATATACGACCACAAACATTTTTTTGCGGTCGTATAAAAAGGTTAAATCGACAATTAAGGACAATAACTCCTATAAAAAATCGCCTGACAGTTTTTATTTAAATGGACAGTTGGTAGACCTCATTATTTTGAACATTACTATCCCTGTCAATTTTCTCTATCTAAAGCGGATTTTAAAGTCATATGAAACGAGTTTCTTAAGATTATAATGTTATCGAAATAATTGAACCAATGCATCCATCTATACTAAACTAAGTCCTGTATGCACGTTTTTTACATTTATTACGAATCTATAATGTATTATCGAAAAATAATATTTCATTCGGTGATTGTTGATCGCAAGCTAATTAACTTTGGAGTTTGATGCCGAAATTTACCATATTGTGCCATTGATAAACAATCAACACAGAGCACGTTGGAACATGTGAAAAATAAGTGAATTATTAGAGCCATGATATTATTTATTTATATTTTCCATGCGTTCCCATTTGTTAATTGAACTTTTCCTTAACAGTTGTTATACGATTTGGTGTGTTTAATTTGTTCTTAAGAATCGGTTATTACTTTTTACCTACAAGTCCACGTTTGTATACATTCTTTCATCATGGTTTTTCACTCGCTCTTGCGCTGTGCGGTGGCCAAAGTTCTGACGAGAGGTCTCGTAGTTAAGGTCACTGCATACGGGAAAATATCAGTGAATTAGTGTACAGAAAGACAATAGTGGTACATTTATGAAGATTTTGATAAGATAAAGAATGTTCTTTTACAAGAAAGTTCACGTACACTTGTTTTATAGTCAAACTTGGCCATTCAAGTATGTAAAACATATTTACTTTTTAAATTTGAAGTTTCATATGACTAAGATAAAAGACAAAACTTTCATTTTACCCTGTATATTCTTTTTTCGACCATGTTAGTTAGCAGACACTCACAGGGTCATTGAACACATTATTTAAACTTGATACCCTAATATTGTTTTTAGCCAAGTTTGGTTCAATTTGGTTTAATAAATTGAGAGAAGATTTTTGTAAAAGTTAATTGACAACGACGACGGAAGACGGACGACAAATGATGAGGAAAGCTCACCTGGCCCAAAGTGCTAAGTGAGTTTTTCTCATCACTTGGCGTCCTTCGTTCGTTAACTTTTACAAATATCTTCTCTGATAATACAACTGGGTCAAATCTAACCAAACTTGAATACAATCATCATTGGGGTAAAGAAGGTAATTGACAACACAGTATCCTTCAAATAGTACTTATGAAGTGGAGCCTCGGTGTGTAAAAATATTTGTAACTTTTCCACTTATTTAATATGCATGGAGTCTGCTACATCTCCCTCAGTGTTTTAATTGAATAACTTTTTTCTCCAGTTCCAGGCCTCGTTATTGGATATAAAATTCTATTCAATATATATTGTTTAATAGCAATAACAGTTTGGTTTAATTGGTTTATAGGAATAGCGTTTTATATATCATATCATCCAATTTATTCCTGAATTACCCTATGTTCCACAATGCTTGTGGACAAAAACATTAACATTAAACAATCTCTTCAGCTAGTACATTCCTAATTTACAAATTTTATGACACAGCATATCCGAAATTAAAACTAAATTCCATTTTTCACCTACCAGGATCTGGGTAAACAGGTGTACTTTCAAATAAAACAGTTGTTCCACCATTGAATAAAGGTCCGTACACAACATAACTGTGACCTGTTATCCATCCAATATCAGCAACACATCCAAATCTTTCTCCTTGTTTATAGTCAAAAACGTACTGAAATTTATTCAACAAAACTTAAATCATTCAACTATCATGATCTACCTTTTGATTTAAAAAAGAAATTGCATTTAAAACATGAATGTTCATTTACTTAGCGTCATATATTCAATTTTCATGAATTATTGTCGAAATATTGTTTCAATATATAACAGGTTAACAAAAGTTAGGTCGAGCACAATATACTCTGACTTTTACTCTACTTGTAAGCAACAGTGGGTAACTAGTGTGGTGATTTTTGCAAGATTTTCTATTATTACGTTGACCAATAAGCGGCACTTGAGTTCAGTCACTATATGATATAACATTTACACTTTATCAGGACATAAATGTTACATTTCGCTATTAAATAGCAAGGAGAAAAGACGGTTTGTCAAATAATTCAAATACATTTCATTCGGCAATCAGTTTGAAAGGTCTTCTTCTTTATCTACATCTAATCTTAATACGAATTTATGCAACTTGAAATCAACAAGTTATATTGCATTGAAAAGCAATATAAAGTTTAATTTGAAATCTGTATTTAATTCTTTTCAAATACAGTGCCGAACTAACAAGCTTAGATATCGCTCACCTGCATCTTCAACAATAGCCATTTTTTCGTGTAAATCATCATGAAAGGGCAATTACTCTATAAAAAGTTAACTGACTATTTCAGTCATGTTGATATATTTGTAGATCTTGTCATGCTGATAATTTTTGCTTTTTAAAGGTTGCAATTCTGTAAATGTAGACTATGCAATTTCCCATAGGAACTCCCTTTGCGGCTAAAACTGTGCCACTTTTACTAGGAAGTTTCGTGAAAAATTATATCCCAGAACGGAAAGTTGATATTCACTACTATTTTATTCAAAGGTCAAAATATAGGGCTGTGCGGCATATTTTCAACATTTATATGCCCTGAACTTCTAAGAGTTTTAACTTATACTAAAATTCTATATTACCCCTTCCTCCACTTTTGGACCTCCTAAGAATTAAATTTTAGGCGCTACCATTTTTTTCTATACTGGTAACATTCTCAAGTTATGTCTCTATGAGATGAAACACAGGGATCATATCTGGGAACCAGTACGTTAACAAATTAACATATCCTGAATATTATATATCTCCCCAAAAGAGGCGTGGCTTGTGAAACAGCTGTATTTACAAAGTGCAACCTTTAGTTTCTATCTACATTTGAATCTATTACACTTTTCAAGATAATAGGCAGTTACGTGTCGACTTAAGATTTCAGCAATGATGACTTATTAGTAGATCTTGTCTTGCTGATAATTTTTGCTATTATCAAGTTTCTATCTATCTATTATAGTTTTCAAAATAATAGGCAAAAATGGAAAAAAAAATTGTAAAATTTGTCATTAAAGGGTAATAACTTCATTTAGGAGTCAACTCACGATTTTGGTCAAGTTGACTTATTTGTAGATCTTGACTTGTTTACTATTTTGGCTTTTAAAGTTTCTTTCATCCAGTTTATAAGATACAAGGCAAAAACGCAAAAATGGTAAAAATCGTCATTAAAGTGATATAACTCAAATAAGGAGTCGTCTGATGATTTGAGCCTTGTTGACTTATTTGTAGATCTTGTCTCGCTTATAATTTTTCCTAATAAAAAACTCTCTGTATCTATTATAGTTTTCAAAATAATAGACAAAAATGAAGAAAAACAAGCATTCTGAGAGTATTGCATGGCAATACATAGTCCCCTACCGGTTAAAATTTAATTGTATTGGAACAAAATGCTAACTTGAGCTATAACTTGTCATGGTGTAAACTATATAACAAATATCAAATCTTCAAGCACAAAGAAAAAAGTGTGGAGAACTGATTTGCCGGACTGACGGATGGACAGACAGACAAACAGACAGACAGATGGACGGAGTGCAAACCTAAAGTTCCCTTCGACTTCGTCGGTAGGGGACTAATAAATGGAGAATGTGTCTATGGGCCACAGATGCCCCCGCTTGTAAATATGTATGAGTCAACTTCCATATACAGATGCAGGATTCACGTAGTTAAGACCGTTTTGTGATTATAAGCATTGTGTATAAGTTTCATAACATTTGGTTAAGCAAACTAAAGTTAGAGAACAAAAACGACAGATTTAGCAATTTTTATACGACCGCAAAAATTGAAAATTTTTTGGTCGTATATTGGTATGACGTTGGCGTCGTCGTCGTCGTCGTCGTCGTCGTCGTCGTCGTCGTCTGGCGTCGTCCGGCGTCGTCCGAAGACACATTGGTTTTCGCACTCTTACTTTAGTTTAAGTGAATGGATCTCCTTGAAATTTTACCATAAGGTTCAATACCACGAAAGGAAGGTTGGGATTGATTTTGGGGGTTATGGTACCAACAGTTAAGGAATTAGGGGCCAAAAAGGGGCCAAAAATAAGCATTTTTGTAACTTCCAGACAATAACTTGTGTGTAAGTGTATGGATCTCTCTGACATTGTACCACAAGGTTCCATATCACAAAGGGAAGGCTGTAATTGATTTTGGGGGTAATTGCCTCAAAATTTTAGGAATTAGGGGCCAAAAAAGGGGCAAAAAACAAGCATTTTTCTAGTTTCATGACAATAACTTGTGTGTAAGTGTTTGGATATTTCTGAAATTGTACTACAAGGTTCCATATCACAAAGGGAAAGCTGGAATTGAGTTTGGGGGTAATTGCCTGAAACGTTTAGGAATTGGGGGCCAAAAAGGGGCCAAAAATAAGCATTTTTCTAGTTTCCAGACAATAACTTGTGTTCAAGTGTATTGATCTCTCTGAAATTGTACTGCAAGGTACTATACCACAAAGGGAAGGCTGGGATTGAGTTTGGGGGTGATGAATCATAAGGGGGTTCAAAAAATTTGGGGGGGGGGATTTTTTTTTCTTTCTTTTTTTTTCTTTTTTTCCTTTTTTTTTTCTTTTAAAATTTTCTATTTTAAGTTGGTTATTTCTGATTAATATTTGAAAGCAAATAATAATGATATGGTAGGAGATACACACCAAACAGGATGTGTAAATTATTATATAATAAGTATTGTGCAATAGCAAGAAATTTTCAATTGCACAGTATTGCACAATTGCAAGAAATCTTCAATTGCACAGTATTGCGCAATAGCAAGAAATCTTCAATTGCACAGTATTGCGCAATAGCAAGAAATATCCAATAGCACAATATTGCGCAATAGCAAGAAATTGTCAATTGTACAGTATTGCACAATAGCAAGAAATATTCAATTGCACAGTATTGTGCAAAAGAAGATACTTCGTATAAATTGCTTATTTCTTGATCAATTTCAATGGGGTTTTATTCTTGAATTCTTGGGGTTCTTTAATATGCTGAATCTAACCGTGTATTAAGTTTTTGGATTTTGGGCCCCGTTTTTAAATTGGTCCACATTGAGGTCCAAAGGGTCCAAAATTTAACTTTGTTTGATTTCATCAAAAATTGAATTATTGGGGTTCTTTGATATGCCGAATCTAACCGTGTATTTAGATTCTTAATTTTTGGTTCCGTTTTCAAATTGGTCTACATTAAGGTCAAAAGGGTCCAAAATTAAACTTAGTTTGATTTTAACAAAAATTGAATTTTTAGGGTTCTTTGATATGCTGAATCTAAACATGTATTTAGATTTTTGATTATGGGCCCAGTTTTCAAGTTGGTCCAAATCGGGGTCCAAAATTAAACTTTGTTTGATTTCAACAAAAATTGAATATATGGGGTTCTTTGATATGCTGAATCTAACCATGTATTTAGATTTTTGATTTTTGGGCCCCGTTATCAACTTTGTCCACATTGAGGTCAAAAGGGTCCAAAATTAAAATTTGTTTGATTTCATTAAAAATTGAATATATGGGGTTCTTTGATATGCTGAATCTAAACATGTATTTAGATTTTAGATTTTTGGCCCAGTTTTCAAGTTGGTCCAAATTGGGGTCCAAAATTAAACTTTGTTTGATTTCAACAAAAATTGAATATATGGGGTTCTTTGATATGCTGAATCTAACCATGTATTTAGATTTTTGATTTTTGGGCCCCGTTATCAACATTGTCCACATTGACGTCAAAAGGGTCCAAAATTAAACTTTGTTTGATTTCATCAAAAATTGAATTCTTGGGGTTCTTTGATATGCTGAATCTAACCATGTATTTAGATTTTTTATTTGTGGACCCGCTATCAAATTGGTTCATATTGAGGTCAAAAGGGTCCAAAATTAAACTTTGTTTGATTTCATCAAAAATTGAATTATTGGGGTTCTTTGATATGCCAAATCTAACCGTGTATTTAGATTTTTAATTTTGGGTCCCGTTTTTAAATTGGTCTACATTAAGGTCCAAAGGGTCCAAAATTAAAGTTAGTTTGATTTTATCAAAAATTGAATTCTTGGGGTTCTTTGATATGCTGAATCTAAACATGTGTTTAGAATTTTGATTATGGGCCCAGTTTTCAAGTTGGTCCAAGTTGGGGTCCAAAATTAAACTTTGTTTGATTTCAACAAAAAATGAATATATGGGGTTCTTTGATATGCTGAATCTAAACATGTATTTAGATTTTAGATTTTTGGCCCAGTTTTCAAGTTGGTCCAAATTGGGGTCCAAAATTAAACTTTGTTTGATTTCAACAAAAATTGAATATATGGGGTTCTTTGATATGCTGAATCTTACCATGTATTTAGATTTTTTATTTGTGGGCCGCTATCAAATTGGTTCATATTGAGGTCAAAAGGGTCCAAAATTAAACTTTGTTTGATTTCATCAAAAATTTAATTATTGGGGTTCTTTGATATGCCAAATCTAACCGTGTATTTAGATTTTTAATTTTGGGTCCCGTTTTTTAAATTGGTCTACATTAAGGTCCAAAGGGTCCAAAATTAAACTTAGTTTGATTTTAACAAAAATTGAATTTTTGGGGTTCTTTGATATGCTGAATCTAAACATGTGTTTAGATTTTTGATTATGGGACCAGTTTTCAAGTTGTTCCAAGTTGGGGTCCAAAATTAAACTTTGTTTG